CTCTGTGATGTTGATGAAGTGGGATTAGCGGCAGTTATGTTAATGAGGAAGGACTCAGACTACAAGATTGGGTTGTGTCTTGAGACAGTCTCTTTTGAGATACAAAAGAGAGAAGTGAGCAGAGAGACAGGAGACCTCATACTACCAAGAAACGAGCCAGGAGAATAGCGTGTCCTTTGGACCCGGGGTTCCTGACTGGGGAAGATTGATGACAAGGACCTTCCCCCAGAGCTGACAGAGAGAGAAAGCGTTCTCCTGGAGCTGGTGCCCTGAATTCGGACTTCTTGCCCACTAGACTGTGAAGGAATACATTTCTCTGTGCTAAAGCCATGCGCTTGCGGTGTATCTGTTACAGCAGCAGTAGATGACTAAGACACACCATCTGGCACTGGGAAGGCCAGGAGGATCAGAGCGTGGCTGCCCTGCTTTCCTGTCCTTTGAGAAGCACGTGTCTGCTGCCTGACACGGTGAGGACCCCCACTGTCCCGGGGACAAACGGCAGCGTGCTCACGTGCTGTCTCACGCCAGCAGACACGGTCGTGCCAGAAGCTCTGCTTCTCAGTGTTTCCCCTCGGGCTCCCCACGGGTGGGCGGGGGAGGTGTGAACACTGGCTCTGTGACCAAGAACCAGCTGCCGCGGAGTCAGTTCCGACTCCTGGTGACCCCGCGTGTGTCGGTAGAACTGTGCGCCACGGGGTTTTCAATGGCTGGTTTTTCGGAAGCAGATCACCAGACCTCTTTCCAGGACCCTCTGGGTGGACTTGAACCTCTAACCTTTCAGTTAGCAGCAAACGTGTTGACCGTTTGCTGCACTCAGGGACTCCTGCTTCATGACAGGAGGGATGAAAGAACTAGCCCAGAGCCCCCTGCCCCAGAGGCTCAGCGCCCCAGAGCCCCTCGCCCCAGAGCCCCTCGCCCCAGAGCGCCCCCTGCCCCAGAGCCCCTCGCCCCAGAGGCTGAGCTCCCCAGAGCCCCCCACCCCAGACACTCAGCTCCTCAGAAAGCCCCGCCCCAGAGCCCCTTGCCTCAGAGGCTCAGCTCCCCAGAGCCGCCCGCCCCAGAGGCTCACACGGTCAGCATCCAGGCCCAGCTCTGCGCCAGTCTGCGCGTGGTGCCTGTTGCTCGCCAGGATGTTTCTGGTCTGCTTGAACCCCCTCCCGAGTCCAGTATGCAGCCGTTGGGGCGTGTGGTGTGGGGCAGGCACATGTGGGCTCTGAAACCATATAGACAGGCTGAAATCCCAGCACCCCCTCGTTACGGGGTGACCTGGCCCAGCCGCAGCTTAACCCCTGCGGGGTTGCCACAAGGAGGCAAGTGGTCACTTGCCCAGGGCCTCAGCGCCTGTGCGTGGTGGAGCTGGGACTTGAACCCACCAGGCCAGCTCTGGAGCCTGTGCTTTAGACCAGCACGCTCCCGCCTCACGGGGGCCGCAAGGATGAGAAAGAGGACGTTCTAAGGCGTGCACTCTGGTTGCTTTATTACCTGGCCTCCCGCTCCGGAGTTCTGTCTTCTCCAGTGTAAGGTGGTTTCCTCCTTGCAACCGTGTGAAAGCCCAGCACGGGTAACACCACAGGTGCTGTAACTTCTCCACCACGCCGCTCTTCCCCACCTGCTCCCCACGTAAAGGCATCCAGTGTTGCGTAAATATACAGTTGCTTTCCAGAAAAGTTGTTGGTACCACTTGCCATGGGAAATCTGTTTTTTGTTTGGCACAGACTCAAGTTTCCAAAGGAGTTGCTGTTTCATTTGTACGTCTCTCTCCCTCTCCCCGAAGGGACTTGGCGAGCAGCTTACCTGACAAAGCCACTGTGCACACGTGCTTCTGGGAGGCGGCTGTTGTCTCACAGCCCATCACTGGGGGCCCGAGTCCTGTGCCCCAAGGGCTGTGCCAGCCCCCCAGGCGGAGGAGGAAGGAGGCGGCCCAGGCCAGGCAGAGCCCAGCTTCCAGTGAGCCTTCCCACTGAAGCTGCACCAGCTACCCCAGAGCCAGGCCTGCAGCCGGGGGTGGATCAGGC